CTTAAAGGATTTTCCATAGTTTATTGTGATCCACACAGTCAAAGGCTTTGGCATAGTCAATAAAACAGAAATAGATGTTTTTCTGGAACTCTGGGTTTTTTGATAATCCAACGGATATTGGCAATTTGATTTCTGGTTCCTCTGCCTTTTATAAAACCAGCTTAAACATCTGGAATTTCATAGTACATGTACTGTCGAAGCCTGGCTTGGAGACTTTTGAGCATTACTTTACTAGCATGTGAGATGAGTGCAATTGTGTAGTAGTTTGAACATTCTTTGGCATTGCGTTTCTTTGGGATTGGAATGAAAACTGATGTTTTCCAGCCCTGTGGCCACTGCTGAGTTTTCCAAATTTCTTGGCATATTGAGTGTAGCACTTTCACAGCATCATCTCTTAGGATTTGCATTAACTCAGCTGGAATTCCATCACCTCCACTCGCTTTGTTTGTAGTGATGCTTCCTAAAGCCCACTTGACTTCACATTCCAGTATGTCTGGCTCTAGGTGAGTGATCACACCATCATGATTATCTGGGTCATGAAGATCTTTTTTGTTTAGTTCTGCTGTGTATTCTTGCCACCTTTTCTTAATGTCTTCTGCTTCTTTTAGGTCCATACCACTTCTGTCCTGTATTGTGTCCATCTCTGCATGAAATGTTCCCTGGTATCTCTAATTTTCTTGAAGAGATCTCTAGTCTTTCCCATTCTAATGTTTTCCTCTATTTCTTTGCACTGATCACTGAGGAAGGCTTTCTTATCTCTCCTTGCTTCTCTTTGGAACTCCACATTCAAATGGATGTATCTTTCCTTTTCTCCTTTGCTTTTCGCTTCTCTTCTTTTCATAGCTATTTGTAAGGCCTCCTCAGACAGCCATTTTGCTTTTTTGCATTTCTTTTTCTTGGGGATAGTCTTGCTCTCTGTCTCCTGTACAGTGTCATGAACCTCTGTCCATAGTTCATCCAGCACTCTATCATATCTAATCCCTTGAATCTATTTCTCACTTCCACTGTATAATAGTAAGGGATTTGAGTTAGGACATACCTGAATGGTTTACTGGTTTTCCCTACTTTCTTCTATTTCAGTCTGAATTTGGCAATAAGGAGTTCATGGTCTGAGCCACAGTCAGCTTCCCGTCTTTGTTTTTTTTTTTGCTGACTGTATAGAGCTTTTCCATCTTTGGCCTCAAAGAATATAATCAGTCTGATTTCAGTATTGACCATCAGGTGATGTCCATGTGTAGAGTCTTCTCTTGTGTTTTTGGAAGAAGGTATTTGCCATGAACAGTGAGTTCTCTTGGCAAAACTTTATTGTCCTTTGCGCTGCTTCATTCTGTACTCCAAGGCCAAATTTGCCTGTTAGTCTAGGTGTTTCTTGACTTCCTACTTTTGCATTCCAGTCCCCTATAATGAAAAGGACATCTATTTTGGGTGTTAGTTCTGGTGGCTTAGATGGTAAAGCATCTGCCTACAATGAGGAAGACCTAGGTTCAATCCCTGGGTCAGGAAGATCCCCTGGAGTAGGAAATGGCAACGCACTCCAGTATTCTTGCCTGGAAAATCTCATGGACGGTGGAGCCTGGTAGGCTACAGTCCATGGGATCGCAAAGAGTTGGACATAACAGTGATTTCACTTTACTTTCTGGAAGGTCTTGAAGGTTTTCATAGAACCATTCAACTTCAGCTTCTTCAGCGTTACTAGTTAGGGCATAGACTTGGATTGCCGTGATATTGAATAGTTTGCTTTGGAAAGGAACAGAGATCATTCTGTCATTTTTGAGATTGTATCCAAGTACTGCATTTCAGACTCTTGTTGACTATGATGGCTACTCCATTTCTTCTAAGGGATTCTTGCCCACAGTAGTAGATATAATGGTCATCTGAGCTAAATTCACTCATTCCAGTCATTTTATTTTGCTGATTCCTAGAATGTCGACGTTCACTCTTGCCATCTCATGTTTGACCACTTTCAATTCATGGACCTAACATTCCAGTTTCCTATGCAATATTGCTCTTTACAGCATCGGACTTTGCTTCTGTCACCAGTCACATCCACAACTGGGTGTTGTTTTGCTTTGGCTCCATCTCTTCATTCTTTCTGAAGTTATTTCTCCACTGATCTCCAGTAGCACATTGGGCACCTACCGACCTGGGTAGTTCATCTTTCAGTGTCCTATCTTTTTGCCATTTCATACTCTTCATGGGGTTCTCAAGGCAAGAATACTGCAGTGGTTTGCCATTGATTCTCCAGTGGACCGCGTTTTGTAAGAACTCTCCACCATTACCCACTTGTCTTGGGTGGCCCTACACGGCATGGCTCATAGTTTCATTGAGTTAGACAATGCTGTGGTCCATGTGATCAGATTGGTTAATTTTCTGTGATTGTAGTTTTCAGTCTGTCTGCCCTCTGATGAAGATGGATAAGAGGCTTATGGAAGTTTCTTGATGGGAGAGACTGGCTAAGAAGGAAAGTGGAGAAGCTTCGAAGGCTTAAAAAATGTTTCTTGTATATTAAAATGTAGCTTCTTTTGATAGATATTTCATTCCTGAAATCTGAAACTAGTCTTTCTGGTGATAAAAAATCATTGTCAGTTTCTAAGTATGTGAATGCTGTTTAATCAGTTCAGTTTTTTCTAGAAAAAAAATTCAATTTGAAGATTATTCAGACTTTTAATCCAGACTCTGTGTTTTTGGTCTTTTGGGCATTTTACTTAATCACTTGTAACTTTTTTTTTTTTTTGACATAGCAGTTACTATTTTCTTAACACTCAGGATATGTAAAGAGCCACAGACACCCTAAGTCTCTCAGGAACATGACCTGTGACCAGCATGAGGAGTACTTTGTCATTCACCCTTGAATTGGATTATGTGTTGTCACATATACCTTCATTTTTTATATTTTTCTTTCAATAGAAGTACTTTATTGCCCTGTTTAGCCAGGACCCGTAATGCATGTATCATGTATAAAATTGAGGCTTTATCACTCTGACCCATGGTGTCATAATTAATTTCTTTATTACCCATTTTTTTTGGTTGGTTTTGAATTAAAGCTCTCCATAGAGCTTTGAAGATTACTTATAAGAGTTAATTTACCAAGAGTGACTTCTTAATATAAAGTGCCTCTTTGCTTGCTGAGCATTACTGAGGTTCATTCCATCAAATGAAAATGGAGAGATTAGTGGAGATTTCAAATTATTTAGGGCTTCTTTTATAGCTCAGTTGGTAAAATTTCCATTTGCAATACAGGAGACCCCATTTCGATTCCTGGTTTGGGAAGATCCCCTGAGGAACGAATAGGCTACCTGTCCAGTATTCTTGGGCTTCCCTTGTGGCTCAGTTGGTAAAGAATCCTCCTGAAATGTGGGAGACCTGGGTTCAATCCCTGGATTGGGAAGATCCCCTAGAAAAGGGAAAGACTATCCACTCCTGTATTCTGGCCTAGAGAGTTCCATGGACTTTATAGTCCATGGGATCGCAAAGAGTTGGGACACGACTGAGCGACTTTCACTTTCAATTTATTTATTTAGTAAAGGGCCAGGCATGCTGAGTACTTATGTGTTGGTCTTTTGAAAAGTTTCATCATCTAATTCATATTCATATAACAAGTGTTCTGCCTGTTGCTGAATATCAGGAAGGCTAGGATTACCTTGAAATGGCAGAATCACAGCTTTAATGAGAGCCCACAGGATCCAGAGATCTATTGGAATATTTTTTCCCCATCTAGTGGCTTGTTTAACATTCTCTTTAACCGAGTTCCAAATTTCTATATCAAAACTGTCCTCGTCAGGGAACCAGGGATTATATTCAACCACTGTTTGAAGGCATGCTTCTATGCGTTGACGTGAAACCAAAAGTCCTTGAAAAGAAAAATGATGGGGCTTTCCAGCCATTTGTCCCATAACCCTGCACTTAACTGACCTCAATAGGTCCCAGTCACTCCGGCCTGAATACCACAAATTCCAGGTCCTTGTTTCGGGCACCACTTGTTGGTCTTTGATATAGACCGGGAAACTGGTCTATAAAAGAAAGAGAGAGAGAGTGCAGTATCTCTCGGGTTACGTGGAAAACCAATAAAGCCCACACACAGGACTTGTACCGCTCACGAAGGCACAGGGCGTCCTCTCAAGGAGGTCTTGAAAGCCCGGGTGAGAGAGTGAGCTTGGCAGGTTTCCACGCTCTGAAGAGAATTAAGACAGAAAGAAGGATGTGGGGGACCCAAGCCTCTAGTGGAGCAAGGGTATTTTATTAGCAGAAGTGCAGGCTTATGTATCTTTAATAAAATGATTACTCAGCCATTACAAAGGATGAAATTCCATCAGTTGCAACAAAATGGATAGTCTAATACATACAAGGTCGCTGATATTGAAAAGAGTCACTAAAGGGAGCTACTGAAAGGAACCCAAGCAGGTACCCTTTCCCATGATCTCAGTCCTGAGAATTGGGTGAAGCTCTGCTTGTTCCTGGAATAGGAACTGATAAGGAACAGAGAATCCTTGAGAAATGGCACACAAAGGAAGAAAAGTGCAACATATTGGATTCCTTAAAGTTGAACGCTCCCTGACACTTATGCTGCCGCTTTGTGGAGATTAATGAGACAGTTAAAACCATGGGTCATGATGAAAACTTACAAATGATTAAAAACCTTCCACATTGGATATTGTATTAAGTACATTATTTTAATAAACTAGTGTGCATCATTCAGTTTGCATTTCAGGGAGGTGCCTTGTCATCTCTGCTACTAAATTTTGTGGGTGTCTAGAGCTGTTTCTGTATGAAAATCTGATAAAAGAAGGAGGCTTTTTAAAGGCAACTTAAAACTAGTTCAAACCACCTAAGACATAGGATTGGATGAAAAGGTCTTTGGGACACAGTATCTTAAAATAGGAAAAAAAAATGTGAGTTAATGTTAGGATATCAGTGACTATTACATTATTTTCTCTACTTTTTAAAGTAATGTGTATTACTTTATTGAAATGGGTACATTTTTTATAAACTTTAATTTGCAGGAATCAGAAACCCCAACCCTACAAGGCCTTTCCTTTACTGTCAGACCTGGTGAACTGTTAGCTGTGGTCGGACCTGTGGGAGCAGGAAAGGTAAGTTGTGATGCCTTTTGTCAGCTTGATGTAATACCACAGCCTCTGTTCAGTCCTCAGAGTGGAGCCCAGAGCTGAGTGTGACTCAGTTTGAGTTTCAATTGGGTGTCTCTAGAAAGGATTTTCTCTAGGAACATTAGTTTTGCAAAAAGGTTTCATGGCCTACTACATCAGGATAAAAGGACATTGTGTTTTCCTTCTTAATGCTTCATGTGACATAGTTGGGAACTGCTCATGGGGAGTTTGGACATCTCAGTGAAGGAGATTATTTATGTGGCAGCTGTTCAGGATGGATGGAGACAGTCGGGACTTCTTTTTGTCACAGTGGCCCCTCCAGGAAGTTTGGAGGTGGTGAAGGCTCTTCCAGGAAACTCTGAGCATTTCTTCACATGACTTGACTTGGTTCCATCAGTGCACGTATAGGGAATGTGCAACCACATGCTGGAGCTAAAGGTATAGACATGAGCCAGACCTTGACACCTCTGCCCTCCAGAGGCAACCAGGTTCTGGGGCAAGACAGATATGCAGGCAGACTATTTCAGCCCAGTGTGGTGAGTGCTCTGATGGTGTGGACATAGGCATGTCATTTCTGTGTGTTACAGGAGATGTGAAGGACATGTACATGTGCACTTAGTGTCCTGTGTTTTGTTCTATAAAATACAGAAACCTAAATGTGGGATGTGCACACGAGAGGGTGATGACTTCCTCCATGAAGGACTTTTTTAAAAATTTATTTTTAATTGGAGGATAATCGCTTTACAATATTGTGTTGGTTTCTGCCATACATCAGTATGAATCAGCCAGAGGTATACATATGTTTCCTCTCTCCTGAACCTGTTTCCCACCTCTCATCCCATCCTACCCTCCTAGGTTGTCACAGAGCCCAGGATTTGAGTTCCCTGGGCATGATGGACTTCTGTTCTTCAAATACAACAACCTCAGAGTTCTTTTAAATAGCAATCTTTGGATATATTCTTCACACATAGTTAATTTTTTTAATATACTTATTTATGTATTTGGTTGCATTGGGTCTTTGTTGCAGTGCATAGCATCTCTAATTGTGGCATGTGGGCTCAGTTGCCCTGGGCATGTGGGATATTAGTTCCCCCACCAGGGGACCAGGGATCTAACCAGAGCCTCTGGCACTGGAAGGTGGATTCTCCTTGGTTTTCTAGTGTTTATTATCTGGATATAATTATTGTTTTTTTTAACATTTTATTTTGTACTGGGGTAACAATTAACAATGTTGTGATAGTTTCAGGTGAACAGTGAAGGGTATATGTCAGCCATACATATACATGTACCCATTCTCCCTCAAATTCCCCTCCCATCCAGGCTGCCACACAACATTGAATAGAGTTCCATGTGCTGTACAGTAGGTCCTTGCTGGTGATTCATTTTACATACAGCAGTGTGTACCTGTCCATCCGGAACTCCCTAACTGTCCCTTTCCCCCCATCCTGGAAGGTGGGTTCTTAACCACTGGACCACCAGGGAAGCCCCACATAGCTTTTTAAGAACAAGTATTTGTCAAGTAAAAGATATCCAGGTGCAGGAACAACTGCATTAAACATCAGATACAGAAAATATACATCCTGCTTGTCTGCTCTGCTAGAGAAGGATGTTAAACATTCTTAGTCTTTGCTGAGTAGAGCATTTCATCTGAGGGAACTCAGGCAGAGTAGATTGTTATCATGTTAATATTCCTTATCAACCTTTAGTTTAAGAGTTAACCAGTAATGCTCTGTTCCATTTTTTTTTTCCTGCAGTATCTAAAGCTTTACTTTATACACTTCTGATATCCTGTATCAAGCACCAGGGTGGGGTCAGCTGTGCTGCGGAGCATGTTCCTTGCTGAGTGCACCCTGTTCACCTGTGTGTGTTGCCGTCTATTTCAGTCCTCACTGTTAAGCGCTCTGCTGGGGGAGCTGCCCCCAAGCCAGGGGAAGGTCAGTGTGCTCGGGAGGATCGCATATGTTTCTCAGCAGCCCTGGGTGTTTCCAGGAACTGTGAAGAGTAACATTTTATTTGGGAAGAAATATGAAGAAGAACGATATGAAGAAGTAATAAAGGCTTGTGCTTTGGAAGAGGTGAGTAATGACTCTTGAGTTGCATGTAGTAGAATTTCAAATAATGATAACATTGATTTAAGCTCTAAGGTTTGTTAAAAGTTCTCTTTTTTTAATTTGAAAGGTCTTATATGTTGCTTTAAGCTGGACTTCTGGGTAAGTATGCAGTCATATACATTGTTGTTTTATTTTTATTTTTTGTTTAATTTTTATTTTATTTTATCTTTTTTCTTCCATTTATTTTTATTTGTTGGAGGCTAATTACTTTACAACATTGCAGTGGTTTTTGTCATACATTGAAATGAATTAGCCATGGATTT